TTGCCTAGCGGCCAGGATGCTAGGACTCGGCTAACATCGGCTCGCTTCGGCTTCGCTCGGCGCATCACGGCTGGCGGAAGGGGGGGGAGGGGCGTCATTCAGAGCTCAACATGTCACAATAATCTCACTGCGCAGCTTCCTGGTTTTCATTACAGAGAAGTGTTGCTTATTTTTCATAATTATGTCATATACAAAGCTAACAATCCTGTTTGGGTTCCCATCTTCTTTTAGTAAGTCAAGTTGACCTCTTCTTAAATTTTCCTGCGTCTTCACAAATAATTTTTTCAGTCGCCAGGCCGGATTTCAGCGGTTTTTAATACGAGATGATTTCGGTGCGTAGGCAAGTTCATAATTTGCGCAGTTTCTCGTACGAAATTCGTAGCAACCGAACAGTATACAGACCTTTGTTTTTTTATTGCTAGTGGGGTGGGACTAAGTCCCTTGTACTGCGGCAACTTCTGGCATATTGTACCAGCCCCAGATGATAGGTGAGGGTGATCGTGGAGCAATTGGTGGAATGAAAATTGGCAGTGGAAACCGAAGTACTCGGAGAAAACATGCCCTAGGGCCACTTTATCCACCACAAATCCCACTTTACCAGACACGGGATCGAACCAGGGCCGTCGCGGTGGGAAGCCAGCGGCTAACCGCTTGAGCTATGGCGCGGCCTAGACCTTTGTTAATTTCATCATAATTACAGCAACAAATAATTCAATAAAACGTCTCAACAAATGACAGAAGAAAACTTGAACATGCGTAAACTGATGCTGATTATAAAATCCATACAGATTTTTAAAATAATTATATGAATATGGGCCTAATATTTGGAAGTTAGCCTTCAAAATAAATACATTGTATTTACAAAATTAAACGAAAATCGAATAAATACTAATCGTCTTATCATTAAACGCTATATAATGTGAGCTGTTTAGAGCGTCATTAAATTAGCATGAATAAATAAATAAATAAATAAATACAGGGACCCTCTGCGATCTGAACCCACGTTATTCCGAACTGACAGTGCCGTACAGAGATCGACATTTCCAAAAATCACGAATTTAATCTAATAATTTCGCTTCCTTTCAGTAAACATGAATTCTCTTGAAACATGACATTATATGTTAATGAACCTGCCTCTGCGGGTGACGAAAGGTGTAACGCAGGTACCGCTTGACCAGAGCCCGGCGTGTAGTCGGACGTCAGATGCATAAATATACGTATATAATATCTTACCACTTTTGGTTATGTATAAAATGTACGCATAAATAATTGTACAAAAAGTCCAATTTTTATATTTGAAACCAAGCAATCCGTCTAATTCGTTAGCTCGAACACTCCAGCGCTTAATTATTTCCGAATATCGAGTTTTCACTTTATAAAATTTAAAATAATAACGAAAAACCCTCAAGCGATGTTTGAACGTGTTATTATTTTTGTTGTTTAATTTACGGCTATATAACGTTGAATGGTAGGGCAATTAGTAAATCTTGAATTATAAGGAATTTGGAAGGAAGGGCACATGACGTAATCGTCCTGGGATATGCCTAAAGAGTCTAAAGAAATCGTGTTATTCAGTGTAGAAACGTCGTAATATTTCCTGTCATGACGCCATTCATGGAGACTGGGACGAAAAACAAATGCCTGCTAAAGAGTTAAACGTTTTGTACATTGCGTTTAGATAAGGGGGATATCAGATATGTTTGAAAGATGCTCTGTAACGATTTGTCACAAATTAGCAACTGGGTACATCTCAGGAGATAATTATTGCCGTATTGTAGCTGGTATCGTGTTACAATATTATTCCCTTTCATTTCCTGTTTCCCCTGAGAGAGAAGAAAATGGCTGTGAATTAAACGGCAGGCTCAATAAATGCAATTCAAAAAAACAAAAACATAACTCAAATAATAAGTTTATATTTTTAAAAAATAGGAGTAACTAATGAAGTCTTGTTTCCCGTTTATGCTCGCTAATATAATTAGTGATCCTCGCGAAATGTCAGTTATTACTGCCTTAGTCTTAACTACCTCGTCCTGTACAGCAAACCAGTTCAGAAACCTGCAGCGCGGCCTCGGATTGGAAGGACAAAAAATGACGGATATGGCATGGGCAGGGTTAAGGATTTAATTGTTGCATGTCAGAGAAGACCTTAGGATATTGAAAGTTAAATATTGGGGATCATCTGTAATGTACAGAGATGCTTGGAGGCTGTTGGTGCAGGAGGCCAAGGCCCACAAAGTGCTGTAAAGCCAGTTGGTAAGGTACTGCCTTAGTCATTCTCATAAAAATACTGATACATTAAGAAGAATAAGACCTCTGGGAATGAATAAGCAGTTCCGTGCAGAGTTCGTTGCGTTCCTACTGTACGTTTTCACTAATAACAAGTGTTTGTGTTCCTAACACCATTTTTAAATAATATAACAACGAATTTAGCCCATACGGGACCCATCCCCAAATAACCGTACAGTTCGAAAAGTTCTATCCCCTGGCATAGAATGCCGTGTGGTCCGTTGAAATTCAACAGACGTTTCATATGCTATGCTTGGCACCTGTTTTCATGCTGGATTCTTCCTTGACTTATTCTTCGGCTGTGAAGATGGAGGCGACATGTTGATCCGAAACATCGGTTGACTTTCGGCTGACTACATTGCGTTATATGCAATAAGATAGAACTCATCATAACTACCTCTGTAAGAATCTTGAATCTTACAAACCATACATTCCTTTCCAAATCAGGATTTTATTGTGTAAGATTTGAGGTTTCACGGCGGTGACTATGAAGAAAGCAGTCTTCTGGGATGTGGCACCGTGTAGATGTAGTGTTAACCGACGTTCCTCCGAAACGTCAGTTAACACCACATCTACACGGTGCCACATCCCAGAAGACTGCTTTCTTCAGGATTGTATTGTTTGGAATGTTAACTTTGCTTCTTGAAATGTACGGGATAGGTGGTGTCCTTACAGAGATTAAAACCAGGTTCCTCCTAACGAAAGCGTTACTACCTGAGCCCACTTGCTGGATCATCGGTTCATTTTCACTCTTCTTTTGTTACAGGAAGCAGAGAGGATCAATCATTCTAGCACCTGTCCAGCCGCCACGCCGCCAAGCTCCCCTCTGGACTCTCCACCACCCCCAGCTCCCGTTCCTGCCGCCCCCATACCGGCACATTACATTTCGTCCCTAAGGGCCTCTTCCCGAAGAGGCGGTTTGAGTCCAGAGAAGGAAAGAGACCCACTAGCAAGACTGTTACGGTTCCTGCGGGCCTTCTATCGTGAATTGGCTGGCAGAGACCCAGCTCAACCGCCGCCCTGGGCACCACCTCTGCCCCCAGGAACGCTATGTCCCGCACACTTTCAGCCCTCGTTGCAACTAGCGCCACTAGGAAGTGCCGGACGACCAGAGAACGAACCACGAGATACTATTCGACTCGACCAGATACTGTCGGCAATAAGGGTAATCAGTCCTTAGACACAATTATTTAATCAAGCTAATCAGTTTCGCACTTGTGATAGGTCACAGTTACAACAGGAATATCTTGAACGTACTTCAGAAACGTTCGTTACAGAGCTGAGATCAAAAATTTGTTGGTTTCGTGTTTCGTGTTTGGTAGCCTAATTAGACCATTTTCCTCTAATGTTTTCCAGTCTAGTTTTTTGTTGTTGTTCATTACACATTTATTTGAACAGTGTTGTCTTTTGGAATGTGACACAGTGTAGTTCTATAGAAATTCAAGGTGAACTTTAGCGTGTTACATGACGTCTCGTCCCAAAACATGTAATTCTTAATATGAAGAAAGACTTGGCTCAGTAGTGTTTATTTGACACATCAAATACTGAATATACATACTGGTTCTTAAGGGCCGTTCCTGAGCGCCATGAGAGTTTGTAGGCGAAAAATGATCGTATAAAATAGAATATACACGTACATTTTCATACTTTTTAAAAATGATATTTATAACAAAATGTAATATTTCTGTTTTACGATAATTTTGTATTTTATAGAGTCGGGGTAGCTCAGTCAGTATAACTACGGACTGGATGGCCGTGATTCGATTTCCGGTAGGGCCAAGAGGATTTTTCTCTTCTACACAGCGACTAAATCAGCTCCGAGTCTCGACCAGCCTCCTAACCAATCGGTACCGGGGTGTAAAACAGCCCGGGCCTGATGCTCACCATTCACCTCCGTCTAGTGTCGAGATCAATAATTGTGGAGTCGCACCTCCACTCCCCCCATTCGTCTTCATGGCATGGTTCTTAATTAATTAAGCGCAGAGACAATTTTACCTTGTTTACCTTGTCTTTTGTATTTGTACACATTACATCACTTAAATAAAAATAGTTGTAATTTTAAGGGGCCCATACACGTACGAGTCTGGTTCGCGAGTCCGACTCTGCTCGGATTCCAATGAGCCAAATTCGTCCGTGTGTGGGTCGCAAAGTTGGGAGTCAGCTCATGCGTTTGTGGTGAAATTAATCCGAGTCAAGCTCGCCGAACCGGACTCGCGAGCCAGATTCGTACGTGTATGGGCCCCTTTAGTTTTCCGTTCCAACTGTAGTGCGACGTAAAAATAAAACGAATATCCGATTTGTAACGTGAGCACCAAATGGTCCAGAACCTCTGATGTAGATGAAAGAATGTGGTGTTAAGGGTTGCATTCGGGACGCGCCATAGCTCAGGCGGTTAGTCGCTGGCTTCCCACCGCGGCGGCCCGGGTTCGATCCCGGATCTGGTCAAGTGGGATTTGTGGTGGACAAAGTGGCGCTGGGGCAGGTTTTCTCCGAGTGCTTCGGTTTCCCCTGCCAATCTTCATTCCACCAATTGCTCCACAATCACCCTCACCTATCATCTGGGGCTGGTACAATAGGCCAGAAGTGGCCGCAGTACAAGTCCCACCCCACTAGCAATAAAAATATAATACGGGTTGCATCCTTTCACATTATGGCTGTTTTTTTATAAAACGTCCAATCTAAATCTTCTTGTCTGTTTACAGCCATACGGGCTTGTGTGTCAGTGTAATTTCCTTCGTGAAGATCCTGCGATTCAGGTTATGTCGTAAAGATTTCTGAAGTCCACTTTGTGAAGACAGCTCAGGGACATTACTGATATTGTCTTCCTTCCTATAAACATACTGCCACATTTCTCTACATTTCTCGCACTATTTCCTAAAGCCTTTTTTCTTGTTTAAGAACGTGATCCATGAGGCCGTGATTCTCTTTCAGTAAGCTACAGGAAAGAGTAATCGATAAGCAAGCGTACAAGTATGGCGATTTATATTCAAAGCCCCAGTTCTCTCCATTTATGTAATTCTTAACAGAGCCAAGAGATGTAACGATGTAAAATATCACGAAATTCATCAAATTTCATAGTTAGATGTTTATAGATGAGATATCCCTGTATTACTATTACATGTTCATAAAATAATATGTGTTGGAAGTGAACAAAAATATCCTCAATGTGAAGTATATATCAGGTACTCTGTGCTATGAGATACAGCGACCGGAGCGTGAAACTAACCATCCAGCTTACTCTACCGCCGAGTTAAGATTTTATGCAGTTTAACTGTCACTCCCCTTTGCTCAGTGATTAAGCCCAGACACAAGTTTACCTTTATTCCACCAAAATGTCTCATAGCTTACAACAGCTTAAAGGGGTTGTACCCCAGAAGAGAGGAATATTCTGGACTGAGTGTCAAGACGAACCTGCAACACTGTAGAGCATCGAACGGTAGAATGATTAATGAATGATGAATTGGAAAGAATTTTTAAGGACGTGATATTGTCCTAATATGGGGTACTATTCTGGAATATGTCTGGAGGAACTGAAGAAAACTACGAAAACCCGCAGATGAGGAAGTGGTCCGGCCGAGATTCGAAACGAGCAACTCCCGAATATCAAGTCTAGAACATTACCGGTATGCCAGCCCACTTGATTAAGCTGATTCATCTACAAGCAAACAAAATGTGCACTTCAAGGCCGCAAATTCAGAAGGTATATAAAACGTAAAAGTAAAATTGCTTGGTAATAAAGTTCCATGATTTTGTCGAGAAACTCTGTAATGTTTTATTGCCTTTTCGCTGTCGCTGGAAGTTTAACGTAGCTTCCTGTTGTAAAAAAAAAGGGGGGGGGGGAATTGCACCGTATAACAACGCAGCAGAATAATCACAAAACATAACAGTGAGAGGTGGCTAGCATTGTATATGTTATCAAGCTTCGTTAGTTCAAACATTGTCTCTAAATGGGAGTTCTGCCAGCTATCTTTGTTTTAGGGTACATGGTTTGTTCAGTGTCCCCAAAGTCAGCTTTCCGGAGAATCCTTACATTGAAAATTGTTTCAGCGAATGACACAGTGTAGTCCTGAGCGCCTTGGCATAGCTGTTATGCTGTAGACACATATTCGAGATGTTATCAGTTATATTCTCAACCCTGTCACCTAAGGTTTTCTTGAAGACTTCTATCTTCTGAGATATAACTCTGTGTAGTTCTTGAAATTGAGAGTTTTCGACCCTGAAGATGGAGGCGACGTATTCTTCCGAAATATCGGCTGACTTTCAGTAGACTACACGTCGTTATATCCCCGTTGTGGGAGCCTAAAATCCTATATAAGATTTATTGATTTTCTCAGATCTTCAGACTGTTAACAGGATAGTACGTTGATAGGCCATCACCGTTTCCTTCCAGATCCTTTCAGATTAATTTACCATCCTGTGTTTCGAAGCCTGAAAGCATCGTAAAACATCCGACAAAAAAGTCGCACACTTGTATCTTATTCTGAACATTTCAGACCCGAATCTCAGCCCTGAAAAGAAATAATATTTTTCCTCGTGTTCTCGAGGTAAATGAGAAGTGCTCTTGGTATGTAAGACTGAAGGAAGGAGATCTCGTTGAAGACTGGCCATGTTTTATTTGTTTGTGACTTGTTTAGCAGCTCTTTCAATAGCTCAGGCTATACATCGTCAAACTGTAGAACGAATGAAGAAATGGGAGCGTGGAAGGAAGCGGTCATGGCTTCTTTCAAGTTACTGGCCCAGAAATCACTGTAAGTGCTCTAAAAACCACGATAAGGCTCAATCAGAATGGTTGGTGCCCTGGCTGAGAATAGAACCAGGCACCACAGGTACAGAAGTCAGATATGTTACCACCTGAGCCAACGTTCTCGATGGCTTAAGTGTAGATTGGATATAGAAATTTGAGTCTTAAATATAGAATGTGAGGATGTGGATTGGATTCATCTGGCTCAGGATAGGGATAATCTTAAAGATATGCATCTGATCCTTGAAAGTTATTGCACTACAAGGAACGAAATGTAAACTATAGTCAGTCTGAAGTATTTTTGAATGTACGTCAACAACACGTAGTGATACTGATCGTCATATCAAAGCCAGAAATTTATTATATAGATTGCCGTATCGGAGATTTAGTTGAACGCACAGAACGTTTGTACAATAATGTTTCCTTCTCAAGATATGTCGTTTTCTCAGAGGTGTGTTGTCAGATTTTAACAACCACCCTGTGGTTTTTCATTGACGCATGTGGACGGACAGACAGTTAGATACAGAACGACATACATAACAATTCCTATATGTTTTTTTCCTTGAGCGTTGTGCAAAGACTGCCATATATACAGGTGGGTGCTACTATGGTAAAAAGCGGCCTCCGTAGTCTAGGGGTAACGTTCCCACCTCATGACTCAAGGTACGCGGGTTCAAACCCGGCGTGGAATTTTTAAGGGCGGAAAAATTCAGGGAACAAGTCCTCCGGGAGGGACCTTAAGCCGTGTGTCCCGTGTCGTAGATTTACGGTATGTAAAAGAACCTCATGTCTCTAGGAGACCTCTGAGCTAAATTACAGGCCCTTTCCCGCCCAAGTAGTCTCCAATGCTTCTGGTGGATGGGGGAAGCACGAAGGTACCGGGGGCCGACCTCGTTGGCTCTACGGGGGCTGATGGCACTCACCGTTACCGGTAGGGTATGGCGACAGTAGAAATTAAAAGGGGGACGCACAATGGACCAATAACTGGTCTAAGGGAATGGGGAAACCCACCCCCTCTCATAATACATACATACGTACTATGGTAAAATAAATTGAAACTTAAGGTTCCTATAACCACTGAAGACAGTGTCTCAAAAGACCTATTTCATGGTATACTACCGAGTTGGGTCTTCCCCTCTTGCTTCAGTTTTCAGTGTTCCAGAAGCCGCTGAATATGGTATGAAATGTGTCATGTATCATGACCCCCTTCGTATCGTTGCAGACGAATGAGGGGGCAATGCACGAAGCTCCACGTCGCGTCGTGGTGGAGGGTGGCCCCGGCAGTGGCAAGACAACCCTGGCTCTGAGACTGCTGCATTCATGGGCTACACAGGATGACTGGTTGGGTCCGTCCATACAGCTTGCTCTCTTCGTTCCACTCCGGGAATTGCGAGGCAGTACTTTGGCCCACTACCTAAGCAAGGAACTGCTCCCCAAAACGGCGCTCAGCGGTGGTACAAGTCCCTGGGGTGGAGGGGGTGGGGGGAGCTGTGGTGGGAGTGGAAATGGTTTCGCTCAAGTGTGGAAGTGCCTCGGTCTCCTAGAAGACAGGTTATTGTTTGTGTTGGACGGTTACGATGAAGCTGTGGCGCTTGGTGGACAAGAGTGTAAGGGTCAAGGCAGTACAGGAGCTGCAAGCGGGAGAGAAGCGTTGGGGGATGCTGTGGAGCTTCTTGAGGGCCGCATGTTCCCTGAGTGTCGCATCTTGATCACGTGTTCTCCTGGCTGGAGTTCAGAGCTGTTCCCGCTTGTTCAGCGTAGAGTGCTTCTTCAGGGACTGGACTGGGTGCATGTGGAGCATCTGGTGACTGCCTACTTCACCGGAAACAAGAAACCAGAGAGTGCTAACCGTTTTCTGGAGGTTGTGTACGCGAGTCAGCAAGTTCTCCGTCCTCTGGCATGTTGGCCTCTTGGTTGGCTTCTGCTTTGTGTTCTTTTTGAAGAGGAAGGTGGCCATTTGCCAACAGATATGCTGGATGTCCATCAGGCCCTATTTAAGTGCCTTATCCGCCGGAGTCTTGTCAGGAAGGGTGAAATTTTAATGTCCAGTGGAACATCTTCTGACTTACCAGGACACTGTAAAAAGTTGCTAGCCGAGTTTGGGAAGCTTGCACTTACGTGTATAAAAGAAGAAAGGTTTCTGTACACAGACTCAGAGATCCGAGCTCACTGTCGGGGTGGTGGGCTAGAGGTTACAGAACTCGGCTTTCTCACTCGTGGTCTCAACTTTGGTCGCAGTCATAACCAGAAGAAACGAGCCGAATATTACACGCCAGTGATCCGGACGTTTGCAGAGTTTCTTGCAGCCCATTACATTTCTTCCATTGTACATTACTCAAACATCCTGAGGAGAGAAGTAGAAGATCTTCCTGGAATGACTGGAGGAGGGACTGGATCTGTTCTGGACAACAATACAGTGTTAATATTGAGGCTCCTGATGGGCCTGCTAGGACGTAAGGGACATTTAGTGTTCAACCAATTGTGTCCGCTGGATTTTCCCACTCGGACGTTGTTCATGCTTCTTCAAGCGTCAGGGCCATCTGAAGCTAATGTAGCAGCAGTGTGCAGACTACTAGGGGCATCAAGTGGCAGTTGGGTGGGCATGGGTAATGGTACATCTGGATCGAGTTCCAAAGTTCCAGTTCCTCTAGTTCATACAGCACCACTCGAGCTTGAAGGTTGGTCACATGTTCTACAAAGTGAAGCATGTACTCTAGAGGCACTGGAACTAGTTTTCCAGTTTGATAAAGGTGCAGATTATGAAGAGCATTTGGATGCATTCTTCACATCATTATCTTCCAATGACAGTGTTCGTTTAGTTCGTATTTCTTCATTGTTGGGTCATGAGTTTACTGCCACCGAAGTGGATCGACTGGCTGGTTACGTGAAGACTACACTGTCGAAGTCTAGGCTCCACACATTTGAGCTGGTTATAACCTGTCTAGAAGACAGCGCACATGACAGGTACTGTATATGCATAGAATGATGCAGAATTGAAATAAGTAGATTATAAATAACAGTAGGTGGGTGGGCAATATTAGGATGGATCTTAGAGAACATATGAACATGACATGACAGTATAATGAGAGACAAAGTCATAATACAACTGTATATAAGAAATTTTTGAGAAAATTTGAAAATATGAGCACCAATCTGGGAATAACATTAACAAATACAAATGTTGAAGAGTTCTGTTTTCTGGGATATAACACTGCATAGTTTTTTGATAGCCAACCAACATTTTGGAAGAACATGTCACCTCTATCTTCAGAGTCAGAAACCAGCAAGCAGAGAATCTTGCTTGGATTATTCTTTGACCCTGAAAGTGAAGGTGACATGTTCCTCTGAAATGTCAGTTGATTTCAATGGGCTACACAGCATTATATCCCAGAAGATAGAACTAATTGTAACCATGGCGGTGAGGATCTCAAATCCTAAATAATATTGTCCGTGATGAACTAGAGGAGAATAAATTCTGGAAATACTTGCTATGTTCAGTGTAGAAACTATTATCATCCCAGTTTATTTCCAAAATTTTGAAAATCGGGATATACAAAACATAAATTTTGCCATTTGTTTTGTATGGGTGTGAAATATGTTTCTTACATTGAGGTAAAAACTCAGTGGTCTTAGTCAGCAAGCGAACTATACCGACTGAGCGACCGCTGTTTGTTTTCGAAGTTAGTGCCAACTTCAGCGGCTAGAGGGTGTCATGTGGTCAGCTCAAAAAATCCCCACAGTCATTGGTAAAGGTAAAGCTATCCTTGTAACAGGCCGTGGAGGCCCATAGGGTTGTGAGACATCAAAGATCCCACTTTTCTAGACAATCGGCACACAGATATCAGTGAGGTTGTCAGCCTTACACGCCAGAGGGCCACCCTTTACCCCCAGGAAGATTCCTGGAAAGTATGAAGGATGAAATGAGAGCAATTCAGGATATTACAAGCTGAAGAATTTGTCATAGTGTTAGGACAGTGAGGTCAAAGAGGCTGAGAAGGGCAATCATGTGGTTATTATGGCAGAGACTAGGAATGCACACAAAAGTTTGGTAAGAAACCCTCTTGTAAGAAGAGAAGGAAAATGTAAAATACTATTAAGACAAATATTGAGGCCGAGCCATAGCTCAAGCAGTTAGTCGCTGGCTTTCCACCGCGGCAGCCCAGGTTCAATCCCGGGTCTGGTCATGTGGGATTTGTGGTGGAGAAAGTGGCGCTGGGGCAGGTTTTCTCCGAGTACTTCGGTTTCCCCTGCCAATCTTCATTCCACCAATTGCTCCACAATCACCCTCACCTACCATCTGGGGCTGGTACAGTAGGCCAGAAGTGGCTGCAGTACAAGGGACTCAGTCCCACCCCATTAGCAATAAAAGAAAAGACAAATATTAGGCAGAGAAATTGTGAACATCAGAGGTAAAGATATAGTCATTAGTTATATCAAAATGTTTTTTCTTTACGTCAGTTAGAATTGTGCTTTGGCTATGTTTTGAAGGTTCCTCTTTGAAGCAGAGGGAGGCAGGACCATTCTGTTTACAAGTGATTCCAAGAATTTGCCCTCTAAAAATGTTTATGGGAACTATAAATTTCTGTTGGATCACAGCAAAAGCTCATACTCATGTCTAAGACGACCCATCAACCATTTATTGTAGTGACATTGTTACACTAATTACAGTGAATATGCCACTACGGTTAGTCTGAGGAATGGTTCATCTACTATTCACCAATCAAATTTGAATTTCTTTAAACTTGCTTGGTAGAATTCATCTTTGTGAAATCAAACCCAACATTAGTACTGATATGTTAGATGCCAGAGAGGATGTATGTCCAGTAACCTCAGGCATGTGATTAATTCCAACTGTAAGGGAAATTTCAGGTAATTTAACAGAATATAAATTTACTGTTTCACTGTAAATTTTCTCATTTCCTAAAATAATGCACTTCTAAGGCATAAAAATGAAGAATAAAAAAAGAAAATCAACCAGAATGCATCTTCATATTCCAGTAAATGAAGTCAAATGACATAGCAAATGGAAATGACTATTTCATGATGTGGACTTAAGTTCAAATTTCACACTGTATGGTAATGGACGGTTCTTCAGCTTCAGTCAAATACCACAGCAATTATGGTTAATATCCTTTAATTCTCACAGATTCAAATTCTTCTTTAAGTGAAAGAGTGTAACACGTGAATGAATATTTATGCAGATTTGCAAATGATTGTTAATGAGTGCTGGAAGTGAAATAAAATCCCTGAATACTGTACTTTAACTCCCACAGTAATATCAGCGCATATTCGATTTGAAATCATTATTAGGAGTTGTATCTTCTGGAATGTAATGCTATGTAGTCTGGCAGAAATTTTCTGATGTTTCAGAAAATGTACTGCCCTAATCTTTACATGCTCCTTTCTTTTGTTTCTGGCTGCTTGTTTGTCTCACTCTTCAATTCAGTTCAATTCAACTGTGAATACAGAGGCAGTATGTTCCTCCAAAACATGTATGAACTTCTACTAGACTACACAGTGAAGCTAGTACTCCTCATCTTTAGTACACTTTACCCAATCTTAAAAAACCTATTCAGAGTGAAATGCCATACTGTCTGATGAATCAGACTGAATCAGTGAGGTATTATAACAAATTGCCCTTGTGATGGTATTAGCTGAAAGAAATTTCTGTCACATTCATAGCAGTCACCTTGGTGTCTTGCATAGGTTTCAGCAGAGCCATGACAGTTAACTTATGAATTGCAGGTTCCAGTCACTAGTTGATGCGTTATGTGAAGGTCTGGAGCAGAATGCAAGTGCAAGCCTGAACAAACTGGTGTTAGACCTGAATCTCGGGACGTGCCAGGTGGTGCAGCTGTGTGTTGCTCTCGAGCAAACAGAACAAGTGACAGTTCTTCATCTACCGCATTTGGGCTGTGGCAGAGATGGTCTCCGAGCCATTGCGCGGCTTATCAGGGCCCGACCTCTTGTTGCACTGAACTTGTCTGGTAGCTGGGGCATGCGGCGTGAAGATCCGCCGTCCTCCAGCGGTGTTAGCGTTGGTTCGTAAAGAAAATTAGATTTTGTAGTTGTTTTCCCATATTCCTCCTTAGAAAGGATATTTTGTCTGACTTCATGTACATTTAACATAATGTGTGTGTTAACCCCCCTTGAGCCTCTAACTTACTCCCATCGCAAGCCCCAGACACAGACTTTTAATAGACTCAGTCTGGGGAAGTAGGTCTGGTGAGGAAGGCTATCATCCGAGTTGGTCTGGAGTGACCAATCCAGATCTGTCTGGGAATATTATAAATACATGTAACTCCTATAAGAATAAAATTTTTGGTGGTATGACTGATTGCAGTGTAGTTTTCAAGGTCTGCAACAGTGGCCTGGTGTCACGATGTAAGGATATTCTGTGCACATTGTTTATTGAGTGAAGTTGCTGAGCCAGTAACAAGGATTTGTTTTAGTAATCCAGACTGAAGGGAAACTCCCTTAGTCTTACAATAACTCTTTTACCTGAAGACAATTATAGAGCTAACTTATGAACAGTCATAGCCTTAATCTTATTTAAATATAAAGGTGAAATATCCAGGAGACTTCTATACATCATGATGGATACTTTCACTTTTATTTTGTTACAGTATTGTATAGAAATATAATTTTTTGCTAGCTTCTGTTTTCTGTTTCTTACAGCAAACCTAATAAATAACATGCAAAAACAGTATGAATTTAGTGACTGTTCTTGCCAATATGTTGTGACCACAGCTGTTAAAGCACTGTACAAGAGTTTCCGAATGTGTCTGGATCCTCATTTGCAGTCATTTTCTTTAGTTCCATGAGTAAGCTTTATGTTTCTCAATTGGAGTCTTATACCTGATATGTATGTATTGGCCGTCTTGTAGTGCACTCAATCTCACATGTCACTTCACTACATGTTTTGGCATCACTTTGCCATCCTCTTATACCTGCTTTACAGTTTTAGTCACTATATATTGTGATATTGGCAAGGAAGGGTACTGTATCCCACGTGAATAATGCAGACTTTTGATGATGTATAATAAATAATTATTGAATTTTAGCATAATACCTTTATGAGGATGAGAGTTTGCATGTAGAATTTGTTTAACTATAGAAGTTACTGAATATAAAGAATGCAAATCCCTCTGGGCACAGCAGAAAATTCTTCATGTCACACAAATAATCTTTACACTGTCCTCAAGTCATGACTTGGGAGGGTCCTATTCTTACAGGTTCAGGCAGTGGCAGCAGTGGGGGCGTGGGCAGCGGTGTGAGCACACTACAACACATGGTGAAGCAGCCGTCACTTACCAGCAACATCTCTCCAAAGACAACAACAAACTCTTCCTATTACTTCTCATCTCTGCCGCGTGGCATCATGGGAGGGTACAACAGCCTCAGCAGACCTGCCACCCTGCCTCGCCAACCCCTGCAGCAGCTTCTGCTTGATGGCTACAGCAACTCCAGCAGTGGAGACAGCAAGAGGAACTCTGATTCAGTCCTCTTCCAGAGACTGTTCCACCCTCTTCCAGCATGTGACCCCGCTGTTCACTCAGGTTCAGGGTTCCATGATGTGTTCGATGCTGCTCGTGATCCTGCGTGTAAGTTGAGGAGCCTCAATGTCAGCAAGTGTTTGCTTGGTGCAGAAGATGCCCTTTGTCTAGGTAAGTAACTTTTGTTTCATTAAGCTTTGTTATTTATAGATGTTTTATAAAATCCAGAGTTCTGTGTGTTGTGTAACTAGACATCCACCTGACCAGTAAGTCTCTTGTTAATCTGTGCATAATTATACCTTGTAATTAATTAGAATAGGTGACAGGACATGCCATAGCTCAGATGGTTAGTTGCCAGCTTCTAACCAGTGAGGCTGGGTTCAGTCTCAGGCTAGTCCATGTGAGATTTTTTGGTGGAGAAATTGGAATACGAACAGGTTTATTTATTTCCCGAGGACTTTTGTTTCCTCTGCGTGTCGTTATTTCACCAATGCTTCATAATCATCTACCATCATCGGCTGCTACAGTAGACCCATTTGATGGCCGCAGTACCAAGAGATGTGATCATCCCACTCCTTAAATGGTCATCATATAACAACTTCTGTTCTTATGCTTACTAATAACACAACACACAACTTTCAACATCTGATTTTTGCACACTCAGCCATTAGTAACCTGATCAGTGTGCTGAGGGTTAAGACTGTGACAATGAGCTTAACAAGTTTTCCAGTGCTGCCAAAACTAAAGAACCTCTACAATTTTGACAGGACAGCATCATAACAAATTTTGTCAGAATTCCATTACATTAAGTATTTTGAGGTTTGGGGTTTGAGGTTCTCACATCTGTGACTATGAAGATTGCTGGGATATGACACCATGTAGTCTAGTAGTTTTCCAACAGCGTTTTGCGCAGTATGCTGCTTCCATTTTCAGGGCAATACACTCTTCGAAACAGTGCTAATAATCTACCAGACCACATAGTGTCATGTCCTACAAGGCAGTAATCTTCAATATTGAGATCGTATTATACTGTAAGTGCAGATAAGGGCAGGTCTTTTACAAATCCATGATCATGACACACAGGAAACCCAGAAATCTGTATTTGTACATAGTCACTTTATTAAAATCCTTCATTTCTTGAGCACATTCAGTTTGAAGTGGGATGCAATAATGGATGTCATACAGGTGAAACTGTAAGGCGGTCATTATGCCTGGATGCACTGCGGCTGGAAGGTGGGACACGCCTGGGAGAAGTGCTGCCCGTGATTCTTGGACTAGCAGACAACACATCCATCCAGCTGCTGGACTTGGGTTCCCAGAGACTCATTCTTGAGGATGGCCCCACTCAACTTGTGTGCCAGTCTCTTGCCAAGAACACCAGCCTCCGACTTCTCAGCCTAGAGGGGTGGACGTTTAGGATTGAGGTAAACCTGGTTCCTATTTAATTAATTAGATTTTAGTTTTTACACCTGCCCTCCCCCTACAATTGAAAAATAAGGAAATATACCAAATATAATATAAAAAATTAAAAGTATCATTAGTAAAATTTATTTTTTCTTGCATGAATAGTCCAGGACAGCCAGTATAACCTTAAATGGCTTAAACATAAGTTTGTAAGCAAATTTTCTACTACTGTACATCCAGTAAAACTAGCAGCAGCTATGTGCAGGAATAAGAGCTTGTATCGATAAATCAGTACAATATGACACCGTGAGCAAGTATTCTGTACCCCAAATTCATTGTATCAATATACCAGAATGACATAATTTCTTGGTAGTATAAAATATCTTCATTAGCCTCCATGTTTGAAAGTGATGACAAGCATAACCTTGCTCCTTACAGAAAGCTTTTTGGAAACGTTTCTGTTTGTTATTAGGAAAATGATGATGTGTGAATAAACATGACAGTTGTGAAATGCAAATAAAATCAATATGTTTTGTTTCAAACCGAATTGCATAATAACATTTTGAAACAAATGAAGGGATTTTAATTATGAATACATATTACAGTTGTTTATATTTATGTACAACAATTTTTAATACAAACAAACAACCCTTTGTTCTAAAAACATGTTTAACGTTGAAATATACAGCACATTGGCAGATATGTTACTTTTGACTTCTGACTTCTGACAAGTTTGCTGGTACATATCAGTATGTTTCCAAGTATTCATACTGGACTAATATAGCACTGTAACTAAAAGTAATACAGATCTACATTGTTAAGACTGAGTTAATTTAGTATTTTATCAGATTAAACCAAAGGATAATAAAACAGTTTGGTATTGATGCAAATTCTGCAGTTTTTATACAGATTTCAATACCAATTAACATCTGTACGCAGAGTGTCAACGTAGCATATACTCGTACAAATAGAGAGCGGGAGATGAAATTTCAAACCCCTATCATGAGAATTAATTTTTCAATTCAACTACGAAAACTGACTGAAACCATATGTGCTTAAAACATAGAGTCATGCATTATTTCATATGGTCTGGATATCGTGTTTTCTATTTTTGTGAAAAACAGTTACAATAAAAAATATGTAAGACATTGAGACAGTTATCCTCTGCCATATCCTGAAGAACATATTTCATGACACGTTCCACACTGACGTTGAACAAAGGATGAAGGTGAAATAAATCCAGGCTTTGTTTGGTGTAACAACAGCTACAGAAAAGGGGCAAGAAGTGTGGATGTTTGCAAAGGGTGAATATCTTGCCCGAAGCACGTTTTGAGGTTACAAGGATTGCCTTATCCCTTCAGTACTGTTTTACTAGAGTTACATTCGCTATTTCGCAAGTTATAAGAATCCTCTAACCCCTCTGATTCGTTTGTGCATAGTAACCAATTAATTTTGAAATAATAAGATACAGCTACTAATTTTAATCTACACAAAGTTTACCTTTCGATTCACTGATTCGTTTGTCTACCTAATATCATTGGTTCAGTAGTTACCACCATAAAGCCAAAACCTACAATGGATGTAGCACGCCAGCTGTTCTATTTTATAGAATGTGAAGAAAACAAGTTATCTTGTTTTAATGAAAGGTCCATATTCTTCCACTATTTAATGCCACACAAAATTTTAGTCATACATAAATGACACTACTGTAGCTCCCATCTCAGAGGCTTCCACAGTCATAAAGTTAGTATTATCGATGGCAGGAGATTGAAAGAGGCGTGAATGGTGTGGCCTCAAATTACATGACATTTACGTCAAGCTTCATGAAAACCCAGTCATTAGGTCAAAAGTTATTGGTGGTAGGAGTAGCAACCCCCCCCCCCTCTCTCTCATGCGTGCACATTGTGCACGCATACATATGCACAATAATGCCCCATGGATGTACAATAAATTTTATTTCCAAGAATCACACTTCCAAATGACTGTTTGTCTGTGGAACATATTGAGAAAACTCTTACTTATTTGATTTATGTTGTTTTATCAACAGTTAAGGTTATGGGACACCAGTAGAGGAGTTAATAAAGAATATCTGATTTATCTGAAATTTGAGGTTTTCCAGGCAGTGAATATGAGCAGAACTGGTACAACAGCACAATAAAATCAAGGGGCCAACTGGGGAAACACGTTATGCAAACCGATCTGTCTTGAATTAAAGCTTATTGCACTTGATCTCTTATTCAAATTGTAACCATGAATTAGCAGTATTCTAAATGTATTATGCAACAATGTAAATAAAATTGTTTTAAGAGTTAGGACATCAATGGAAATTATTGACACAGTGTCTTCTAATTTCGTGTTATTAATTGTGAAGGAGTTTTGAGAAAGTTGATCTTTTTTTAACGGATTTTTGGTGGATTGGGCGTGTATCTGCCCTGAAATTGAAGATGAATGTCAAATGACATGCAATGCTGTGTGGTCTGGCAGAAAGTTCCAGTGTCAGCTGAATTTCAGTAATTTTGTCTTAAAGAATGCAGCTGAATTCGTTAAATTAAATGTAATACGTACAGGATGAATACTGAGAAACATTTTCCTGCAGCAGGAATGCTGTAAGAATAATTTAGAAGCCAAGTTTAGACACTCTGTCATTCTATAGCAGAATTACAGATCATATCAGCACTTCTTTTTCCATAAGCTGTGATCAGTTGGTAGATAAGATACATGAAGCTTTGGTAGGATATCCGTTACTACTCTACAGTACCTTAAGCTATAGTTCTCAGAAATACCAGTAGCTGACACTAACTTTAATAATTTCATACACAGTTTCTTCGGTGTTAAAAAATGTATGGAACAGATCCAGTGCAGTTAGTTGCAAATGATAGGTAACAAAACTAGTATAAATGTGTCAAGGTAACTAGAATTGTTATGATTCTGCATGTAGGATGCCAAAGATACTGTAAGCACAATATCAGTAATTCCCTGTTCCAACAAGAGGAGGGAAATTGATTATTGCAGGGTAATAAAGCTAAAATTTTATTAGCCATAAAAATTACCATTTTGCGATAGAAGAGGCAAGAAATGATGAGCTATGCTGAAGTGAAAACATACTGCAAGTGCAATGTGTGTTACACTTTAGATTAAGTTTCATCGGGCATCCCCATTTCTTGTAATAACTCGTTCTTTCTCTCAAGGCTAAAGCTCACACAAACTTTACATGTACAATCAGATATATATTTTGTGAACAGAGAAGTAAATGTGTAAAGCAGTGTCTTACAAATTCAAGAACAGACTAATGTTGGATTTGAGATACTCTATGAAGAGTGCTGTCTTCTGGAATGTGAAGCTGTGGAGACCAGTAGAAAAAGTTCTTCAGTGTTTTGGAGGAATTTATTGCCTCCAGCTTCAAAATTGAAGCATAAGCCAAGCAAGCAATCAGATTGGGCTCACTCTTACCTCTTGGTGCTTGTTTTCTTGGGTTATTGTTCAACCTTGAGGATGGAGACAGTATATTCCTCCAAAACGCTGTTCAGTTTCTAAAGGACTACATGATGTCACATACCAGATGGCAGATGACTAATGTGTAAAGTAGAAGTTCTAACTATAACAGTTTCTTTATTACAGTCCGCCACAATACAACAATATAAATGAAATGAAAATTCTAACTATAAATATATTTAATTGACTTAAATTTTATCAAGCGAAGAATTCTCTTGGTCAAAAAATGCCAGATGAAATTCTAGCATTCAGAAATGTGGCAAAGCATACATTTTTCTACATTCTTTGCATACATGAAGTAAGTATTATGTAAACATTTCGTTCTCTTCAGACTTGGTAACATTAATATATTTCTCCTAGAAAAATATTTTATGTAAGTTCAGAAACACGCTGATTGAACATTATGCACAAACTTTCACAACTTTACTTTTGTGTTTCAAATGAGTCTCCATGTTTTGCATGTTGCATGTATTTATTAGTTCTGTTTAGAACACCTGCTATATGGAAATGTTCTTATTTTGTGTCCACAGGAAGAAGGCTCTCTCTCAGTGTTTCTTGGATTCCTTCAGTCCACATCAATTCGAGACCTTGTTCTTGCTAACTGCCGGCTGCATCTTGCTATACATGGTGGTCGTCTTTCACGTCTTGGCCGTCTTGATGATTCAATAGCAGAGATGCTCAGCTCTTTGCCTGATTTTGTCTGTCCTGCCGTTGTCTTCCTCCGCCTTGGCGGTTTCCAAGTGACAGTGAATGACCGAATGGCGCTTCGTGGGCCTCACCTTTTACCATTCCTTCGTGGTTTCACCCACCTCAGTGATCTAGACCTGAGTGTGGACAAGAACTCTGTCAGCAGCACTACAAGTAGTCCATTGTTTGTGGATGATAAGGCACTAACTTCTTTCTTCCAGACTTTGTCCGCTAGTTTCAGAACTCTTCAAAGTCTCAAGATGAGTCACTGGAGAATTTATCTTGATGACAGTGACAGAACTCTGCGAACAGTTGGGAGGGCTCTCAAGACATGTTCTCTTAGTTATCTCAAAGTGAATGGCCTTGGTGTATCTGACAGTGCTCACAAAGGATCACTTGAGCATTTGTTCCTACAGGCAGTGGTAGCAAATCTAAGTTACCTTAGTTGGTTGAGTATGGTTGGTGTCTCCCTAAGCCCAGGTCAGTCTGCAGCTGTGGGGAAGTGCATCAGGGATCGTTTCCCAGGAACAGCTCTAGAGGTGAGTGCGAAAGATGTAGGTGCAGAAGCTGTGAAGGCTTTAGTTGCAGCTCTGGAGGATGGGGGAAAGATTGAGGTTATGTATGTTGGTGGACCCAGCTGTAATCTTCGTATCCAAAGGATTCTTAAAAACCAAAAATTAAAGGGAAAATTCAGAAGATTTACATCTCTTAAAGAATGAATGTTTGTTTTAATGACATGTGCAATAACCTATACATTATTCTGGTATCAAAAACAAGTAGGAGCCACCTTCCATGTCTGTAATGACAAATGCTGTTGCTTGAAACTGAGTGATCAGTCTTCATCCAGAGTGTCAAAAACCATAGAAGAATGACCCAGAAGATGGAGGCAGCAGGTTTCTCCAAAACATTGATGCCTATCTTCTAGATTATATGGCTTCACCTCTAAGAAGGATACATAATCCTCCTTTCATGTCGATTCTTGTACTTAAAGTTGCAATAATCATAATTTTAGGTGCTTGATAACTAAGAGAAAAAGATGCAGTGAACTCTCAATTATCCACAATAATGGAGAGGGAAAGTAGTATGGTTAATTAAAATCAGTGGGTAAGAAAAATACGTGTACCTATATCAATTAACTTTTTATACACTAAAACCAGTAATGAACCGTAGACTGCAGATTGCACTGGCCACTAAACAGTGAGACAAATATCCTTCCAGTGAAACAAAGCAAACCTTGTTCAGTGATAGGACCAACATGAATAACAATAAAATCAAGAATAGAAGGTTTCAGCAGAGTGAGAAAATATACAGTTTACTGCAAATAACTGTAAAACATTGATTTTTATTATTGAAATAGAAGTAATAAGCAACATTTAAATCATATAGGAAGCTGTAATCAATTATTCATTGGTTCTGAAAGTTACATCGTTAATCCACAAAGCAGATAATCTGCTCATGGATAATTCAGAGTCTACTGTATGCATATAATTAAAGACATTACAATAAACTATGAACCCTATTTAAAACTGGTCTTCAGTACTGGTGTTCATCTATGGTTAAGAATGAAATTATAATCTATTGAAATCACACATGACAGTTGTATTCAATCACTTATATTCCTATAAAATGTAACTTTTGTGGAATTGGACTTCATTGTTAGCCCAGTTTGTAAATAACGATTAATTATGTTTTTGGGTTTGATTTCATTACATCTTAGATACTGTAAAGTGTTAAAGCCTTGAAACACATTGCTGTGAATGTTATATCATTGTATGCATTTTAAAAACACAGGAATTAACTAGAAATCTGAAGAATTGGTTAGCATGGACTGTGTATGACTCATATGTCATTGTAACTTAAAAAATAAGAAAGCAATTTAATTGGTATATTATCTATGTATTCATTAACAAATGTTGGATAATAATGATATACTGGCCACAGTATTAAACTAGAATAATACAGTTGCAAGTTTCAGGAACCAATAAAATCCAATGGATTCTACATAGGAGATTTGTTTTAATAGCTAATTTTTGTATTACCTTTTCTATATTTGAGGAATTGAGTTTTAAGATGGTGCTATTTTTGTTGAGAATGACATGGTGTACATCATTTGCAGGAACAAATTGATCACTGTATACATTAATATGTTTTATTCAATAATATAACAAATCAGATTTGGTAACAGTCAGGTATATAATTAGATTTGGGATATATACATATAAATAAAAGTGACTTTTTGCGGAGTTTTAATGAAATTGCTAATATTTAAATGTGAAACAATCATCCACATATTATACCTATTTATGAAATTTTTAAGTGGTGGGAAATACTTTCATGTAAGAAGGTTATGTGTCAGGGAAATCTGTTAGTACTTTCATCATCCTGGAAAGCTGGGCTTTAAAATATACTCGTACTTCATATGAAATGTAAACAATTTTATAATAGAAAGCAGTCTTCTGGGATGTGGCACCGTGTAGATGTGGTGTTAACAGACGTTTTGGAGGAACATATCGCATCCATCTTCAGGGTAGAAGAAAAAATAAGAAAATCCACATTGGTCTACTTGCACCTGTTCTCACTGTCTCTTCGCTTGCGGATTTTTTTTTATTTTCCCTTCTACCCTGAAGATGGAGGCGATACGTTCCTCCAAAACGTCGGTTAACACCACATCTACACGGTGCCACATCCCAGAAGACTGCTTTCTTCATAGTCACTGCCGTGAAAACCTCAGATCTTACAATTTTATAATAAATTACGGACATCCTGAAATGTGTCTAGTTTTCACTTTTAAATAAGAAATGGTGTTTTGTAGTTCTAACTGTAGGGGAGAAGGATAGGAGCCAAATTCCTGTTTTATTTCAGAACAATTCTGTTTCATTACACAGGTTGTGAAAAGGTTGCTCAAAAGTTGCAATAAAAATTTATGATAATGTCAGATTCATTGAAGTTAAATTTAAAATCAGTGTTTCAGAGACTTTCTCTGTGTCTCCATTATCAGGCTTGATGTCAACATTCATCCTGATGATGGAGAGATAAAACTCATGGAAAAATTAAATTAACCAAGATGTGGCTGATCATCATAGAAGATGTTGATGCATTTATTTGCCATGGGATTCAAAAACTTACATTCAGAACATGTCTGTGAAATAGAATAGACTTGAGCCTAATCTGCAGAGGACAGAAGAAGAAGAAAAAGAATATGATTAGCTTCAGTAAATAGAATTCTATAATGGTGATAGATATGGAGCACTTTATTTCTGAGGTAATGTGAGGTCATCACCATGTCACCACTACCAAATTTTTAAGCTTCCTACGAGAACGAGGTGTAATGAAAACATTGCCTATGAATGGCAGTCTGTGTGTGAGAGAAAGGTGCTAACAGCATTTACATAATATTTCAAATTATGTAAAACCAAACTTGGCAAAATATAAACACACTTCTTAGCCCATTTTATAGAAATGAGTGTAAATTAATCTCTTCTGGGAAGTCTGTGGAATGAAAGTAAGACCAAGCATTCATACTATATTTATTATACCAATTTTAATTTTCTTATTGCATGTATTTCTCGATGCTGCCAGTATTTATATTATATTATGCTGATATGTGTACACAACAATATTCGTGAAAAACGAGATAGACACTATTGTATCAACATTTGTTTTTATTTTGCTGTTGACGCTACATGTTTCGGCCCTTATATTGGGCCATCATCAGGCATACAATGATACTAGTCTTAGTTCTTGAATTGCATCTAATTTCAATATGGATCCATATTGTGTTCTTGTGAGTTTTAAATGCATAAATTGAATTTTCAGTTAAAACATAAATACTTAGGCAGTAAAATTTAGAATTAAAAATTGAAACTTAAAAATTAACATTAAATTTGTACAGAAATGAGATCCTTTGTGACAAATCTCTTTAAAACTTTGTGACAGCTATGTGCTGATATGCTTATCCGGTTGTAGAAGCAATTATAGTGTGGGGTGCCTGTGTATCGGGATCGTCTTTCATAAGTTAGGTCATGTGGTTTCGACCTTGCTATCATCTTATGGAGCTTATGCTTGTTATTCTGTGCATCACCCAACAGATTGTTTACTTGGAGTGATCTGTAACAATATTATTTAATTATTATGAGGTAAAGCTTGTTGAGTGTATTGTTATTAAACTCTCTTAGGTTGTTTAGTAAATGTACTTATGGCACTATGCTACAAGCAGGAAGGTCGCAGGTTCAAATCCCGATGAGGTTATTGAATTTTTTTCAATTGACCTAATCCTTCCAGCTGCATTATGACCCTGGCCATGGGGATGACTCAGCCTCTAATAGAAATGAGTACCAGGAATTAATTAAATAATTTTTCTAGGGAGTAAAGTGCAGCTGGCACATAAGGCTGACAATCTTACTGACATCTTTGAGCCGATTGTCTAGATAATGTGGGACCCTCAACATCTCAACCCTATGGGTCTTCACAGGCTGTTACAGGGATAGCTTTACTTTTTACTTTACCTATACCAGATTTTTTATGATGATATGTGTACAGGCTGCTCCCTGTGATGGTGTTGTCGCTATGTTGTAGCAGTTCGGTCTGGACTACTTGCTGGGGGGGGTTATCTGTGTATGTGTTTATGTTCGTGTAGAGTCAAGTGGTAAGAGGTGGTGGGGGAATACTGTGAATGGTTGAAGGGCTGGAGGAGGGGTGGGGTTTTTTGGTGTGTGTTTTTATTAGAATATCGACTATGGGGTTATGCATATCTGTAAACGTATCCTTCATCTGTAGGCCTTTCTTCATTATGTTGTATATATCTTTCTAATGTGTTAAGTTTGGGTCCCTTCCATTCTATATGTAATATTTTCATGGTCTGTGCCATCATATTATATGTACTATATCCAGTTTGCAAGATGTGTTTTGCAAATTTAGAATTTTGTTTATTGGTCTTCATAGCATTTATATGTTCTCTATAGTGGACTTTGAATGTACGTCCTGTCTGTCCAATATATTTGAGTGGGCGCTCACCGCATTATAGCTGGTATATACAAATATAAGTAATTTCAAGTTTTGTATTCTGAAATAAGTTAGTAATTGTTTTAGTTTCTGGGACAAAATAACAACACGTAACACTATAAGAACCATAAAGAACTAACACTATTATCATTGTACACCTAATGATGGCCCAATGTATGGGCCAAAGCATGTAGCGTCAATAGCGAAATAAAAAAAAAATGTTGATACAATAGTGTCTGTTTTGTTTTTCATGAATATTGTTGCGTTGACTGCCCCCAGTATACATACATATCCTATATATAACACACAACAGGATGCATACTATTAAGATTATATTATGCTAAATTGTAGAATGATGGATGAACGATGACCTCAAAAGGATATGAAAAGATGAACTCGAGTCCTAATTATGCTGGAATTGCCTGGAAAGACTAAGGAAAATCACGAGAAACTCAGTCAAGATAGTAGTCTTGAAATCTGACCAGAAGTTTTTAAAGTATGTACAGAAGTATGTTCTTTACTCTTGTAATCATCGAAGTGCCATATAAGAGACGAAACCCCAAACTTAAAGACAGTTCTCATGCCACATTTCTCATACCACCATTTCTGTGTCGGATACTATGAACTGATGTGTCCCTGACAAAATAAAATATAAATGATGGCTTCTTCACATCCTCACTAGCTAAAACAGACAATGTATGCATAATAATTTTAAGCCTGAAATTCATCTAAATAATGTTTAAAAATTAATTTCCTATCCCACTTCAGTGCTTGGCCAGCCGATTAATACTGCTTTGGGAAATAATTTCAATTTACTGGGCAAAATACCGAGCTTTTTTGGTGTTAGAGCAGATGGTACATACAGAACTAAATAGTCTGCAGCCACTTCTTTCTAGTTTGGAACAAATCACAGTTAATTAATTCAGTATCAGCTGACTTCCCCACACACACTTGAGAAAATGTTGATCAGACTACATTATTGTGGTATAAAGCAAATGCTATTTAAGCCTTTACTTTTGGTTCATCAGAGCAAAATTTGCTGCCCTGTATATGACATGTCAGAATTGTACCACAACTCTATTACCAAGATCTGGTGTGTGGAAATTAATTTTCCAATTAATCTTCTTCCAAGAAGCCTTGAGATATATCCTTTGTAATCAGAACAGTATGTGCTCCCCGACTTTTACACTTCAAGCACTCGATGGTCATAAGGTATCCTCTTCAGCATAGCAGTATGTCAGTTATAAAGTGAAAATTTCTCAAAGTTCTCTTCTTATGATAAGTTACATTTCCAGAGGGATTGGTGTTCCTTAACATAGAATTTTTCTATGCTGCAGTTATCGAATATGTATTTGCATTACTAAAGTCTTCTTAGTCTGTAAGCCGCATCATGTTTAGATAAAATACGGTACTTCAAGTAACTTCATCTGTTCCCCTCATCCTGTGATATGTGACCTTGATAAACTGCTTTCAGGTTTAGCCTTTCGCTTGAATGTTTGTGTAACAAATATACAAATAACAAATGAATTTAATACAGTCATTAATGGCATGCATGTAAGGATTATCCATTACTATAAATTATGTTCTTTTAACGTTTTTGCCTCTACCTAATAAAAAAACGCGTTGTCCTGAAGGCTAGGGGAGATAAGCCATGTATTTGTTCCCATGGATTTTAGGAAAATAAAATTGAATTTTTAAAAAAGAAGGAATACTACCAAATATAACAAATAACAAAACAAACTCCGTGGCTTTAGTCGACCGCAGCTTGTCGGCGAAATTAGTGTAAACTTTTGCGGATATAGAGTGTCGCTTGGTCAGCGCAATGGATTCCCACAGTCGTTAATTACGGTTTTCTAGACCGGGGTCGCTACTTTTCCATTCAAGTAGCTCCTCAGTTATCCTCACAAGACTGAGTGGACCCTGTTCCAGACCCACTACTTCTCAGAAAATCTGGTAGCGCCAGGAATCGAACCTGGGATCTCAGAATCTGTAGCCAAGAACCCACTAGACCACAGAGGCAGTCATACTACCAAATATCAACACCAAAAATTAAAATTGTGTTTAAAAATGTATTCTTCATACTGAATAACCTAGGGCTATCAGAAAATTGCTTAAATATAACTTTGTAAGCAAATTTTTGGCTGCACCCCCTTAGAAAATTTATGCCCCCCCTCCCCTCAAAATAGAAAATCCTGGTGGTGCCTGTGCACTTCTATTCACGATTCTGGTACCATATTTAAATCATATCTTTTTGCTTAAAAACAAAGCTATAAGATTAAGGTTTTCATTGTGGTGAAGATCCATATTGTGGTCTGTGTTATGTCACAGATGGTAAACACTTACAAGGCTTCATGGTGTCATAACCCAGAAGACCACAATGTTAAAAGCACCCCTGTCATATTGTAATGCATTATACAGGGAAATCAGCTAACCTAAATTTTTATTTGAATGTTTCATTAGAAATTTTGTAAGTGT